TTAGGGGGTGGGGGGTGTTGCGGCGTTTCCACGGATATGGAAGTTTCCACTGAGTATGCCACGCGGCTCTAATATCTAAATTCGGACTGAACCATTATACCGCAGGGATGGGTCTCTATGGAGACGACTCGCCTGAGCCAGAGCCGTGACAAAGAATACGGAGCCGAGGACTCACAGAGCCAAGTGATAATGGTTCAGTCCAGATCAGCATCACCATCACCTGGTCGTCATGGTAACGGTAGCGGTGGGGGGTCGCCCAGGTGAGCCTCAGTGCGTGGGGGTACCACGTGGCACGAGTTCGCCCCGCAGCTGCCCGAGCCAGGGTTGGACTCGGGCCCGTGGACTCCTCCTCGCCCCCCCCCCCCGAGTCTCCCCCCCCCCCCCCGAGTCTCCCTCCCCCCCCCGAGTCTCCCTCCCCCCCGAGTCTCCCCCCCCCCCGAGTCTCCCCCCCCCCCCGAGTCTCCCCCCCCCGAGTCTCCCCCCCCCCGAGTCTCCCCCCCCCCGAGTCTCCCCCCCCCCCGAGTCTCCCCCCCCCCCGAGTCTCCCCCCCCCCGAGTCTCCCCCCCCCCCCGAGTCTCCCCCCCCCCCGAGTCTCCCCCCCCCCCGAGTCTCCCCCCCCCCCGAGTCTCCCCCCCCCGAGTCCCCCCCCCCCCGAGTCTCCCCCCCCCCCGAGTCTCCCCCCCCCCGAGTCTCCCTCCCCCCCGAGTCTCCCCCCCCCCGAGTCTCCCCCCCCCCCGAGTCTCCCCCCCCGAGTCTCCCCCCCCCGAGTCTCCCCCCCCCCCGAGTCTCCCCCCCCCCGAGTCTCCCCCCCCCCCGAGTCTCCCCCCCCCGAGTCTCCCCCCCCCCCCGAGTCTCCCCCCCCCCCGAGTCTCCCCCCCCCGAGTCTCCCCCCCCCCGAGTCTCCCCCCCCCCGAGTCTCCCCCCCCCCGAGTCCCCCCCCCCCCCGAGTCTCCCCCCCCCCGAGTCTCCCCCCCCGAGTCTCCCTCCCCCCCGAGTCTCCCGCCCCCCGAGTCTCCCCCCCCCCGAGTCTCCCCCCCCCCGAGTCTCCCCCCCCCCGATCTCCCTCCCCCCCGATCTCCCTCCCCGCCCCCAGATCTCCCCCCCCCCCCCCCCGAGTCTCCCCCCCCCCGATCTCCCCCCCCACCGAGTCTCCCCCCCCCCCCCCGAGTCTCCCCCCCCACCGAGTCTCCCCCCCCCCCCCCGAGTCTCCCCCCCCCCCAGTCTCCCCCCCCCCCGAGTCTCCCCCCCCCCCCCGATTCTCCCCCCCCCGATCTCCCCCCCCCCCCATCTCCCCCCCCCCGAGTCTCCCCCCCCCCCGAGTCTCCCCCCCCCCCCCGAGTCTCCCTCCCCCCGAGTCTCCCGCCCCCCGAGTCTCCCCCCCCCGTCTCCCCCCCCCCCCGAGTCTCCCCCCCCCCCCAGTCTCCCTCCCCCCCGAGTCTCCCCCCCCTAGTCTCCCCCCCCCCGAGTCTCCCCCCCCCCGAGTCTCCCCCCCCCCCCCCCCCCGAGTCTCCCCCCCCCCGAGTCTCCCCCCCCCCCCCCCCCCCCCCCGAGTCTCCCCCCCCCCCCCGAGTCTCCCCCCCTCCCCGAGTCTCCCCCCCCCCCCGAGTCTCCCCCCCCCCCGAGTCTCCCCCCCCCCCGAGTCTCCCCCCCCCCGAGTCTCCCCCCTCCCCGTCTCCCCCCCCCCGAGTCTCCCCCCCCCCCGAGTCTCCCCCCCCCCCCGAGTCTCCCCCCCCCCCGAGTCTCCCCCCCCCCCGAGTCTCCCCCCCCTCCCCGAGTCTCCCCCCCCCCCCGAGTCTCCCCCCCCCCCGAGTCTCCTCCCCCCCCCCTTTCATCCACACGGGGACCACGCAAACTCACTGCGCGTGTGTGATGAAGCTACAACTCTGAACTGTCTCTCTCTCACAGACACACACACGAGGGGTTTGAGGGCTAAGCGTGTTTACTACAATTACAACATTACTGCATATGCTGAGGGTACCTAGTTTACATTCCCTCCCGTTTTCACCTCGGCGAGTAAATTTTAAACCCACATTTCACGTGGGTTTGTTTGCGCCAAAAACGATTTAACATTTTGTGTTCTCTAACGTTTTTATTGCGTGTTTTTTTTTCATCAGAACATTGCATTGAACCTCGTGTTACCTCAACCTAGATGCTTTAGCGTGATTTTTGCTGTAAACCAAAGTTTAAAAGTTTTTTGTGACTTAAAAATCCGTGTTGGTGGGGTTTATCTATGGAAATAGCGCCCCGGGTGATGATGTGCATTGTGGGAGATTAGAACGTCATTAGTTAGATTTAAGTCTGTTATCCCGTTTATTGGGGTTTAAATCCACATTTTTCTTTTAACCGGCTTGGAAACGGCCTTTTTGTAACGCAGCAGCGCCCTCTCGTGGCGAGATGTTTTAAGGATACTGTACAGCACTAAAGTAAAATGTGTTAAATAAAAAAAAACACTAATCCTGAATCCCATGCAAATAAATCAGTTAAAACATCTTGTAATTTTTGGGGGCCCTACTGAGCTTGGGATGCCGGTACAGATGGACCCCATACCACAGCCCCAACAGGCCCGGCCACGGGTGGTTCGCACGTCCCAAGCAGAGGTCGCAACCGGGTACCCGATACCCGTACCCTACCCGATACCCGGCTACCCGTACCCGGCCGGGTATCGGGTTGCCGTTTGCGACCCTGGTGCGGCCGGGTACGGGTAGGCCGTGAGTCACTGGTGAGTAACCGTTTGTCACTCATTTCCCAACGTCTTGTCTCTTCTCACAATTCAAGTTCCTAGAATCAACCCACCCGCGCCTGCAACATGGTTTCATCCCAGAGGTCGCAATCAGGTACCCGATACCCGTACCCTACCCCCGTACCCTACCCGTACCCGTACGCTACCCGTACCCGGCCGGGTACGGTACGGCTGGGTACGGGTACGGGTACCCGTTTGCGACCCTGGTGCGGCCGGATACGGGTAAGGAATCAAAACCGGTTTGCGACCTCTGGTCCCAAGACAAAAAAAATCCACCAAAGACGACCGCCGCTGTGAAAGCGTGGCCTTGCAGGCTCGTTTATTGAACCAAGTCGCACACAGGACCTGACAGCAGATTCAACACCTACACCACGAAGGCGGCAGGGGTATAAGTGACTCCGTTACTAACGTCGATTGATTGCATAGCTATATTCTAAGGTTTTCGGTAAAGTCACGTAGGTCAAAAAATAAAATTAATAAAAGTGTTGCCTCTGAAACGTTGTGATTTTTATTTTATTTTTATTAATTTTAATTTAAAATTTTTACCTACGTGACTTTACCGAAAAAACCTAAGAATATGAATCCTTGCAGTCATGAAAGCTTCAAATCTGATTGCATAGCGCCAGTGTGCGATGCCTTTTACTCCCCCCCTCCCACCTTCACCAACACCACAATCAACACAATTACCTCCTAATTATAATGATTAACAACAACCGCAACCCACACATAGTGGCACTAAGTGTTCTTTCACAGTTTCCCCCACTTCGAAGGCGGCTGGTTTAGAAACTGGGCGAGGAAAACTCCACAGCCCATGGGCCAGGACGTGGCCCCCGCTACTTCATTTCACACGGCCCGCGGCCACGCAAAAGCCCTGCGCCAATTCAAAACATCCCACAGCAATCGATATTAATCCGTCACCGCAAGCAGGTTGCCCAACTATATATGTTTAAAAAATGGTTTGACAACTTCAAGTAGCATTGCTTGGAACTGGGGCCCCGCCGTTACTGGAAAAAGACGGGTTTGGCCAGAAACCACAACGGCTGGAGATTTCCCGGGAGTGGCTCTGTCAGCGTCGCCAAGGCACTGAGGCAGGACAAGCATCTTAGCAGCACTAATAGGGTACTAGAGGGAGGGGCATATTTCCGATCTGGCAACAACACCCTGTGATAAACGCAGCGAGCCGCAATAGTTTAGTGTTATTAGTGGATGACGTGGAGCAGAGGTCGCAACCGGGTACCCGATACCCGTACCCTACCCGATACCCGGCTACCCGTACCCGGCCGGGTACGGGTACAGGTACCCGTTTGCGACCCTGGTGCGGCCGGGTACGGGTACGGGTAGACCGCGAGTTACTGGTGAGTAACTGTTTGCCACTCATTTCCCAACGTCTTGTCTCTTCTCACAATTCAAGTTCCTAGAATCAACCCACCCGCGCCTGCAACATGGCTTCATACCAGAGGTCGCAATCAGGTACCCGATACCCGTACCCTACCCGTACCCGGCCGGGTACGGGTAGGGTACGAGTACAGCCGGGTACGGGTACGGGTACCCGTTTGCGACCCTGGTGCGGCCGGGTACGGGTACGGGTAAGGAATCAAAACCCGTTTGCGACCTCTGACGTGGAGGCCCGCGTTCATCTACGGTTGGCCTGGCAAAGGTATTTCAAATCCCTAGCCGGTGCTCAATAAAGAGACGTCCCCCTCCACCGGATTTAAAGTAACCCCGCCGGTTTGCGCTGCTGTAAATAAGAGTCGAGTTGATCATTCCCGTGTGGTGTCTTACGCAGGTAGCCACACTGGCCTGGCCACTCTCACACCTCCTCCCGGCCGCTTCCCCTCCTCACAGCTGCACGTCCTCTTCACGGGGATGCCCCACTTCTTTTCAAGCCACGTTTGCCTCCTTCCCCGGTCACGCCCCAATCATTACGTTATTAATTTTTATTTTTTACCATCGTGACTTTACCGAAAAAACCTAAGAGTATGAATCCTTGCAGTCACGAAAACTTCAAATCTAGAATTACGTACGTACGTGCGTAGCCAAATGTGCTCATCGGAGTTGCGGGGGAAGGACAACAAACCAAACACAAAAATCAACCTCTAAAAAGAGATTCGTTTTCAATAGAAGATTCAATAGTTATCTCACGACGCCTCCCTCGTTTACCTGGCCACTCCCAACACCCCCGGCACGCCCCGATCCTTCCGCACTCGGCCCCGCACCCCACCACTCCCCTCCACTCACCCCCCCACCACTCCCCTCACCCTACGGCCTTCACCGCCCACCCCCCCTCGTCACTGCAGGGCGTCCTCGGTGACGGAGTCGTCGGCGAGGATGGCGCGCGCGGCGGTGCGGCCCACGAGGCTGTAGATGAGCTCGGGCGCGACGCCGCGCGGCTCCGCCACCTTCACCGTCAGCTGCTCGAGGGTCACCTTGGCACCCGCCGCGATGTCCACGCGCGCCACCACCGACTTGCCCAGCTACGCGAGAGAGGGCGGGGGGGGGGGTGGGAGAGGGGATGCACAAGCACGGAGGTGTACCGCTGCAATTAGGGGTGGAAGCGCAGTGGGAAGCGCCGCACTGCGCACACGGGTGTACAGGGTGGTCCAGATGGCTTGCAACCCCCCCCATTTAAAAACACGCGTTGAAGAGTATTTGGCTGCTATGAAAGTCCACAAGCCACTTCGTTGAGCTATCATCACATCTCACCTCGGTGTGCCAGGCTTCCTCACCACCACCGTTCCCGTGTCTCCCCCCCACACCTCATCCCCCTGCCCCTCCCCCCACGTCTCACCTTGGTGTGCCAGGCCTCCTCACAACCCCCGTGTCTCCCCTCTCCACCTCCACGCCCCCCCACGTTGGTATTGGAGAACTCCTCACCCCCCACCCCCGTCTCTCCCCAACACCTCCCCCACCACCCCCAACACGTGTCTCACCTTGGTGTGGCAGGCCTCCTCACCACCACCGTGTCTCCCCTCACCACCCCCGCCCCCCGTGTCTCCCCCACGCCTCCCCCACCACGAGTCCCACCTTGGTGTGGCAGGCCTCCTCACCACCACCGTCTCTCCCCCACCTCCCCCACCACGAGTCCCACCTTGGTGTGGCAGGCCTCCTCACCACCACCGCGTCTCCCCTCACCACCCCCGCCCCCCGTGTCTCCCCCACGCCTCCCCCACCACGAGTCCCACCTTGGTGTGGCAGGCCTCCTCACCACCACCGTCTCTCCCCCACCTCCCCCACCACGAGTCCCACCTTGGTGTGGCAGGCCTCCTCACCACCACCGTCTCTCCCCCACCTCCCCCACCACGAGTCCCACCTTGGTGTGGCAGGCCTCCTCACCACCACCGTGTCTCCCCCACCTCCCACACCACGAGTCCCACCTTGGTGTGGCAGGCCTCCTCACCACCACCGTCTCTCCCCCACCTCCCCCACCACGAGTCCCACCTTGGTGTGGCAGGCCTCCTCACCACCACCGTCTCTCCCCACCTCCCCCACCACGAGTCCCACCTTGGTGTGGCAGGCCTCCTCACCACCACCGTGTCTCCCCTCACCACCCCCGCCCCCCGTGTCTCCCCCACGCCTCCCCCACCACGAGTCCCACCTTGGTGTGGCAGGCCTCCTCACCACCACCGTCTCTCCCCCACCTCCCCCACCACGAGTCCCACCTTGGTGTGGCAGGCCTCCTCACCACCACCGTGTCTCCCCTCACCACCCCCGCCCCCCGTGTCTCCCCCACGCCTCCCCCACCACGAGTCCCACCTTGGTGTGGCAGGCCTCCTCACCACCACCGTGTCTCCCCCACCTCCCCCACCACGAGTCCCACCTTGGTGTGGCAGGCCTCCTCACCACCACCGTCTCTCCCCCACCTCCCCCACCACGAGTCCCACCTTGGTGTGGCAGGCCTCCTCACCACCACCGTGTCTCCCCCACCTCCCACACCACGAGTCCCACCTTGGTGTGGCAGGCCTCCTCACCACCACCGTCTCTCCCCCACCTCCCCCACCACGAGTCCCACCTTGGTGTGGCAGGCCTCCTCACCACCACCGTGTCTCCCCCACCACCCCCACCATGTCTCACCTTGGTGTGGCAGGCCTGCTCGCAGGGCAGCATGCGCTTGGCGGGCGAGCCGAGCGCTGCCTCGACGGCGCGCACCTCGAGCACCAGCTGCGCCAGCTCGGAGGGCTCCAGCGACGCCTCGTGGTCGCTGCCCTTCCACGTGCGGTCCAGCGTCACGTGGCGCTCCACCACCTTGGCCCCCAGCGCCACCGCCGCCAGCGTCACCGTCAGCCCGCTCTCGTGACCCGAGTAGCCCACCGGCACGTCCGGGAACTCCTGCTGGTAGGTCTGGGGGGCAAGGAGGGGGCAGGCAAGGGAGAGAGAGAGAGTTGGGGGGAGAGGGTGGAGGTGTAGGAGGGTTAGAGTGCACACGGTGGAGGAGGAGGAGACTGGGGAGGAGACGGGGGTGAGAGGATGAGTGGTGAGGTGGCCCAAGGCAAGCACTCGGTGAGCGGCAAGGAGCAGCGCGGAGCGGCGGTGGTGAGCGGCGAGGAAGTAAGAGCAGCAGCGGTGAGCACGAGTGGCGCTGAGGCGAGGGGCTAGGCGAGCACTCTGTGGGGAGTGAGGAATGGCGGTGGTACGAGTAGTGGTGAGAAGCGGTGGTGGTAGTGGTGAGAAGCGGTGGTGGTAGTGGTGAGGAGTGGTGGTGGTAGTGGTGAGAAGCGGTGGTGGTAGTGGTGAGGAGCGGTGGTGGTAGTGGTGAGGAGCGGTGGTGGTAGTGGTGAGGAGCGGTGGTGGTAGTGGTGAGGAGCGGTGGTGATAGTGGTGAGGAGCGGTGGTGGTAGTGGCGAGGAGTGGTGGTGGTAGTGGTGAGGAGCGGTGGTGGTAGTGGTGAGGAGCGGTGGTGGTAGTGGTGAGGAGTGGTGGTGGTAGTGGTGAGGAGTGGTGGTGGTAGTGGTGAGGAGCGGTGGTGGTAGTGGTGAGGATGGTGGTGGTAGTGGTGAGGAGTGGTGGTGGTAGTGGTGAGGACGGTGGTGGTAGTGGCGAGGAGCGGTGGTGGTAGTGGTGAGGAGTGGTGGTGGTAGTGGTGAGGAGTGGTGGTGGTAGTGGCGAGGAGCGGTGGTGGTAGTGGTGAGGAGTGGTGGTGGTAGTGGCGAGGAGCGGTGGTGGTAGTGGTGAGGAGCGGTGGTGGTAGTGGTGAGGAGTGGTGGTGGTAGTGGTGAGGAGTGGTGGTGGTAGTGGTGAGGAGTGGTGGTGGTAGTGGTGAGGAGTGGTGGTGGTAGTGGTGAGGAGCGGTGGTGGTAGTGGTGGTAGTGGTGAGGAGTGGTGGTGGTAGTGGCAAGGAGCGGTGGTGGTAGTGGTGAGGAGCGGTGGTGGTAGTGGTGAGGAGAGGAGCGGTGGTGGCGAGGCTCACGGTGAGCACACGCAGATTCACGTCGCGTGGCTCCAGGGGGTAGGCGCTGGTGCACTGCAGGAGGCAGAAGTTGGGGTTGAGCGGCTTCACGGTGGCGTAGACACGGCGCATCGTCTCCATGCTCTGCATGCCGCTCGAGATCACCATTGGCCGGCCTGACCAGCGGCACACGACGACAACAACAACGACAACAACAACTAAATCATCAACACCAAGAGATCACCGTTAACCATCGCCCAACATGGTTCGGCGTCGTCAAACAACATCGCTCAACGTCATCATCGTGGTGGTTGTGACGTCAGTGGTTGATATTTGTGGTGGTGGTGGTGGTGGCTGTTGTAGCTGAGAGCGTCACCCTTCTTGGCGGTGCTCTCCAGGTAGGGGAGGTTGTTGGTGTCTCCCGAGCCGACCTTGAAGAACGGAACGTTCAACTCATGGAGGAACTCCACGGCCATCTGGGACAGGGGGACATGGGGACAGGGGGACATGGGGATAGGGGGGACATGGGGACAGGGAGACAGGGGGCATGGAGAAACTGTACAATTTCTTATTCTAACTCAGCTTGTACATACACGCGTGTACCTGTCCGCGTGTACTGGGATTTTTGCACAGCGTTGGTGGACGGTGATTTTTTTTTCTGGAAGACTTTGCAGTTTTTTCCTGGATTTTTCTGTTTGCGCAAAGTCACTTCAAGATGTTTTATTGTTTTTGTTTTTTGTTTGTTGCGGTTGCACCCGATTCAAGAGCCGAATGGCTCACAGGGTGATACCAAATAAATGAAACTGAAACTGTGTGTACTTGTGTGTGCATTTGTGCATGCGCACCTGTGCGGTTGTTCGCTAACAACCCGGCGACCCGAGTTCGATTCCCTCTCACAGCCAAAACCGGTGACGATTATCTGAACCAGTCCTAGGCCTCTCCTAGGAAGACTCAGCCTCAAATGAGTATCTGGTGCGGTGTGTAAACATCGCCACTAGGGAGACAAAGGCGGTCGGGCATGGTGGTGGCCACCCACCTCCTTGTGTGTCGTGCCGGCCTTCATAGGTGCTCACTAACCGCACTTGCCTCAACATTCTGTTAAGGCTATACGGGGGATCTTTGTCTTTATTTTGTGCACAGAAAGCTGCCACAGTGGGCACCACAGACGATGCGCATCTGTCGGTTATCTCAGTCATCGAAACATGAACACCTGGTGGGTCTGTCCCGTAACCCCTTCCGACCAGCAGCGGTCGCGAGCCTGCCACACTTCCCACGGCAGCCTCAAAGTGCACCTAGCCCGGCACAAGCTCTGCGCCGACGTCACCGCCACTTTGTGGCGAATGGGCGGCTGCTGCTGCTGCTGCTGCTTGTTGTTGTTGTGCGTGGGCACGCACCTCATCCATGCCGGACGCCGTGAAGAAGATGCCGACCTCCTTGGCGTAGCGCTGCAGCTCGCGGTACTGGTCATGGCTGAACTCCAGGTGCCGCTTGTGCTCCCCGTACGTTGCTCCTACACCGAGAGAGACCCCCGCCCACCACCGCACAGCGTTAACCGAGCCGTTTGCGAGCGACGCCTATTAAGGCCAACGCGGAACACGAGGAGTGGTGCTGTTGCTAACACCACTCCCGGACGCCTTCATCTCCCCTGTGGCGATGCACCCGGTGCTCCTCATTTAAGGCTCAGCCAACCCCAGGGAGGCCCAGGAAAGTTTTAAGTATATTTGCCACTGGTCTTCTTGTTTCTTTCGGTAAAGTCACGTAAAATGGAAATAATAAAATAATAAAAGTAACACATTAAATAATTTTCACGACGTTTCGGCCACAACGCAAGCAGCCATCCTCAGGTGAAGGACAGGTCTGTCGAGAAGACAGAGTCTGAATGACACAACCTAGGCTTGGAGTGTCTATTTAAGCTGGGTTGGAGGGGGGGAGAGTGCCTTGACAAAAGAATTTGCATATCAAGAGGAATTTAGCATATTTATGGGAAATGCAGATATGCGATTAGTACTACTTGTGAAATGGGTTGTGTCATTCAAACTGTCTTCTCGACAGACCTGTTCTCCACTTGAGGACGGCTGCTTGCGTTGTGGCCGAAACGTCGTGAGAATTATTTTACTATGTTTTATTTTTATTATTTTATTATTTCCATTCTACGTGACTTTACCGAAAGAACCAAGAAGATGAATCCCTGCAGTCACGAAAGCTTTAAATCGAAATTTTGCCACTGGTGTCGGCCGTGATCGGAAATCCAACTGGGGTCGGGCGGGTTCGTAGTGTAAAATGAAAGCGACTCAACGTGGCGACTAAATCGTAGGGATCTGGGACGGTGGTGCACAGCTTCCCAAGGCCCTGCGGAGCACCGCTGAGTACGTGTTGTCGTGCCAGTGCATGTGGTGAGGTTAATGCAGCGTGGTGAAATGTTCCTGTAGTAAGGTATGGTTAGTCAGGTTAGTGTGGTGTGGTTAGTATGGTTAATGTGGTGTGGTTAGTGTGGTGTGGTTAGTATGGTTAGTGTGGTGTGGTTAGTGTGGTGTGGTTAGTATAATGTGGTTAGCGTGGTGGGATTAGTATGGTTAATGTGTGGTTAGTGTGGTGTGGTTAGTGTGGTGTGGTTAGAATGATGTGGTTAGTGTGGTGTGGTTAGTATAGTTAATGTGGTGTGGTTAGTGTGTGGTTAGTATGATGTGGTTAGCGTGGTGTGGTTAGTGTGGTATGGTTAAAATGATGTGGTTAGTGTGGTGTGGTTAGTGTGGTGTGGTTAGAATGATGTGGTTAGTGTGGTGTGGTTAGTATAGTTAATGTGGTGTGGTTAGTGTGTGGTTAGTATGATGTGGTTAGCGTGGTGTGGTTAGTGTGGTATGGTTAGAATGATGTGGTTAGCGTGGTGTGGTTAGTATGGTTAATGTGGTGTGGTTAGTGTGGTGTGGTTAGTATGATGTGGTTAGCGTGGTGTGGTTAGTATGGTTAGTGTGGTGTGGTTAGTGTAGTGTGGTTAGTATGATGTGGTTAGCGTGGTGTGGTTAGTATGGTTAGTGTGGTGTGGTTAGTGTGGTGTGGTTAGAATGATGTGGTTAGTGTGGTGTGGTTAGTATGGTTAGTGTGGTGTGGTTAGTGTGGTATGGTTAGTATGATGTGGTTAGCGTGGTGTGGTTAGTCTGGTGTGGTTAGTGTGGTGTGGTTAGTATGATGTGGTTAGCGTGGTGTGGTTAGTATGATGTGGTTAGCGTGGTGTGGTTAGTATGGTTAGTGTGGTGTGGTTAGTATGATGTGGTTAGCGTGGTGTGGTTAGTATGATGTGGTTAGTGTGGTGTGGTTAGTATGATGTGGTTAGCGTGGTGTGGTATGATGTGGTTAGTGTGGTGTGGTTAGTATGATGTGGTTAGCGTGGTGTGGTTAGTATGATGTGGTTAGCGTGGTGTGGTTAGTATGGTTAATGTGGTGTGGTTAGCGTGGTGTGGTTAGTATGATGTGGTTAGTATGATGTGGTTAGTGTGGTGTGGTTAGTATGGTTCGTATGATGTGGTTAGTGTGGTGTGGTTAGTATGGTTAGTATGATGTGGTTAGCGTGGTGTAGTTAGTATGGTTAGGGTGGTGTGGTTAGTGTGGTGTGGTTAGTATGATGTGGTTAGTGTGGTGTGGTTAGTATGGTTCGTATGATGTGGTTAGTGTGGTGTGGTTAGTATGATGTGGTTAGCGTGGTGTTGTTAGTATGATGTGGTTAGCGTGGTGTGGTTAGTATGATGTGGTTAGCGTGGTGTGGTTAGTATGATGTGGTTAGTATGATGTGGTTAGCATGGTGTGGTTAGCGTGGTGTGGTTAGTATGATGTGGTTAGTGTGGTGTGGTTAGTGTGATGTGGTTAGCGTGGTGTGGTTAGCGTGATGTGGTTAGCGTGGTGTGGTTAGCGTGGTGTGGTTAGTATGATGTGGTTAGTGTGGTGTGGTTAGTGTGGTGTGGTTAGCGTGGTGTGGTTAGTATGATGTGGTTAGTGTGGTGTGGTTAGTGTGATGTGGTTAGCGTGGTGTGGTTAGCGTGATGTGGTTAGCGTGGTGTGGTTAGCGTGGTGTGGTTAGTATGATGTGGTTAGTGTGGTGTGGTTAGTGTGGTGTGGTTAGCGTGGTGTGGTTAATATGATGTGGTTAGCGTGGTGTGGTTAGTATGATGTGGTTAGTGTGGTGTGGTTAGTATGATGTGGTTAGTGTGGTGTGGTTAGTATGATGTGGTTAGCGTGGTGTGGTTAGTGTGGTGTGGTTAGTATGATGTGGTCAGCGTGGTGTGGTTAGTATGATGTGGTTAGTGTGGTGTGGTTAGTATGATGTGGTTAGCGTGGTGTAGTTAGTATGGTTAGTGTGGTGTGGTTAGTATGATGTGGTTAGTGTCGTGTGATTAGTGTGGTGTGGTTAGTATGATGTGGTCAGTGTGGTGTGATTAGTATGATGTGGTTAGCGTGGTGTGGTTAGCGTGGTGTGGTTAGTATGATGTGGTTAGTATGATGTGGTCAGCGTGGTGTGATTAGTGCGGTGGGACTCACCCCACGAGTGCTTGGAGGTGTATGGCCGCTCGAGTGCGGCACGGTTGAACTTGTGGTCCAATTCACTCTTCTGGAACTTGGCGCAGTCCGCACCACAGTCCTGTGTACACACAAAGACAAAGATCCCCCATGTAGCCAACACAGGCTGTTGGGCCAAGTGCTTCAAGCGAGCAACACTGAAGGCCGGCACGGTGCACGAGGGGGGTAATGTCATCAGCCAGACGACCGACCGCCTTTGTCTCCCCAGTGCTGACGCTTCCACACCATCCTAGGTACTCGTTTTCAAGGCTGAGTCGACCTAGAGGAGGCACAGGACCGGTTCAGATACTCCACGCTGAAGTTGGCCGCGGGCAGGAGCGGGGAATCGAACTCGGTCACCAGGTTTGCAGGGCGCAAACCACGGCACTGCCGCTTCCCATACCATGATGAGATCTCACTGAATATTTTCGAAGTCGGAGGTAGCCTGCGCCAGGTGCAGAGGTCGCAAACGGGTTTTGATTCCTTACCCGTACCCGTACCCAGCCGCACCAGGGTCGCAAACGGGTACCCGTACCCTACCCGTACCCTACCCGTACCCGGCTGGCTACCCGTACCCGGCTGGGTACGGGTAGCCGGGTATCGGGTAGGGTATGGGTATCAGGTACCCGGTTGCAACCTCTGGCCAGGTGGCATCTGATGAGTACAGCGATACCTTCCTGGACTTTCATCGCTTCGCTCTTTCGGCCGTTTTCAATCACAACCACATTTCAAATTTCGTCCACGTGGCTTTCCTCTTTCGTCCGATGTCATCCCAAACCTTCCACGACGTTCGCGCCACGCGCCGTCTGTTTCGTTCAGTCTTTGAATAGAAGTTGTTCAGTGAGCATTGCTAATATAATGAGCCAAGAGAATGTGTGTGTGTGTCCCACGCGTGACGTCACTCCACATGAGGCCTACCCCCCCCCCACGTGACGTCACTCCACATGTTTATTTATTGAGTTTTGTTTATTTATTTAGTCCTGTTGATTTATTCTTATTTTATTTGTTTATTTAGGTCTCGCACGCATGTGTTATATAGTTACGGCACTGTAGTTATTTGCATGCACGTCTTTCGCCGGCCAAAATAAATCTGCAAGGCTAAATAAAGACTCTGCTTTGAGATTCGTCCATGCTCTGGTCTCTAACCAAACGAAAGTGTTCCTGTACCTGCACCGATAGCAAACCTGAACAGACCCCGGCTGACATTAAGCCCTGGATTATATTAAAATGTCACACCGTGTTATAAGCTTAAATAGCGCCACTATGCAGCTTATCTGGAGCGCTGGGTACACACGGCCACGTATACACACACACACCCAGGTGAGCACAAAAACACACCCACGTGCACACACAACCCATCCCCATGTGTAAACACACGAGGCTTTCCCACCGGGCCAAACCGTGAGATGGGTAACAATCTCACCGTGCCGGGAGAGGGGAGAAAATCGTGTTAATGCATTGTGCCGAGTGGTGAATTGCTGTGACTATTATTACAAAACTAGTATTATTATGCTCCAGGAAGACCTCTTCCAGATGTTTCAACAAAGCTGCTGCTTCTCACTCGACAAGGGCAATTCTGGAAAACCCAGGCACAGGTGGCAACTCTACCAAGACCAAGACCCGCCGTATAGCCTAAACATATTTTTTGGAGCAAGTGCTGTTAACGAGCACCTATGCAGGCCGGTACGTTACCCAAGGCGGTGGCTTGCCAGCACCTCGCCCGACCGCCTTTGTCTCCCCGGTGACGATGTTTACACAACGCACAAAGCATGGGTACTGTTTGAGGCCAAGTTAACCTAGGGGAAGCCCAGGACCGGTTCATATAATAGTCACTGGTGTTGGCCGTAGCGAGTGGGAATCGCCGGGCTTGTAGCCCAACACGCTAACCACTGCGCCACCGCTCCCCATGGTGACCCCACCATTACCAATACCCCCAATTCGCCACTAAGTGACGGTGATGTCACCACGGCGCCTGTGCCAGGCTAGGTGCACTTTGAGGCTGCCACGAGACGTGTCGAAGGCTCGCTGCTGACTGGAGGAGGTCTCGGGACAGACCCAGCTGGTGCCGTGGGTTGGCCGTCTTGAGACGACTGGCAGATGCACCACCAGCTGTACCCTCTACTGTGCCAACACACGTACAAACATTTATACACACAACAACAACAACCGCCATTCGCCACTAAGTGGCGGTGACGTCACCACGACGCTTCTGCCAGGCCATGTGCACCTTAAGGCCACGTGAAGTGTCGAACGCCCGCCGGTAGGTCACGGGGCAGACCCAGGTGCCACAGGTCGACTGACTGAGATGGCCGAGATGACTGGCTGATGCACCACCTGTGCCCCCTACTGTGCCAACTTGCATCTGGCAAATAGCCGCAACGATAATCCCACGACACCACCACCACCACACCACTCAATCGGGCCTCCTACTCACGGCACCAACCATCGCCCCCCCACCCCTACCAGCGGACTAACACCCACAGGGCCACTCTTGCACATGAGATTCTATCCCGGGCTCTGGAGTTATCTCTCAACAACAACAAACGCCATTCACCACTAAGTGGCGGTGACGTCACCACGACGCTTGTGCCAGGCCATGTGCACCTTGAGGCCACATGAAGTGTCGAACGCCCGCTGGCAGGTCACGGGGCAGACCCAGGTGCCACGGGTCGACTGACTGAGATGACTGGCTGATGCACCACCTGTGCCCCCCCTACTGTGCCAACTTGCTGTGCTTTAGCCAGACTGTCACACAGACAGACACCTGGTTAAACAAAATCAACGTTTAACCGAAGCACGTCTCGGTTTATTGCCAAGAATTATGTCGAGACGAGGATTTGGGGAGGAGGAATTTCGTGCCCTAGGGGAGGGGGGAGGCAACAAACGTCACGGGAAGCCGCGCCTTGCACCGCTGAACTTTGAACCCCGGTGTCGAACTCGAGGGCTTAAGCCTTAAGGCGACCCACGGCATTCGGAAGGAAGCCAGCATTGGATGGACATTAAATTTACTTCACCACGAGTGAGGATGGGGGGGGGGGGGGTGATGAAACTCCACCGGGGGGGGGGGGGGGTACGTGATTTTATCTCCACCAGGAGGAGTTGATGTCCACCAAGGGAGACTTCGGGTCTGCTCCACCAGGCGGACCGAGGATGAACTTCACCACGGGACGTGATTTCACATTCACCGGGGGGAGGGGGGGGGCCAGAGGTCGCAACCGGGTACCCGATATCCATACCCTACCCGATACCCGGCTACCCGGCCGGGTACGGGTACCTGTTTGCGACCCTGGTGCAGCCGGGTACGGGTAGGCCGTGAGTCACTGGTGAGTAACTGTGTGTCACTCATTTCCCAACGTCTTGTCTCTTCTCACAATTCAAGTTCCTAGAATCAACCCACCCGCGCCTGCAACGTGGCTTCATCCCAGAGGTCGCAATCAGATACCCGTACCCTACCCCTACCCGGCCGGGTACGGGTAGGGAACGGTTACCCGTACCCGGCCGGGTATGGGTACCCATTTGCGACCCTGGTGCGGCCGGGTACGGGTAAGGAATCAAAACCTGTTTGCGACCTCTGGCCAGGGGACATAACGTCAGCTCTACGAGGTGGACCCGAGTTCATCTCCACGAGAGGGACATGAGTCTGACCCAAATTCCAGAATCTGAATCTATATTCATGCTGGATGAATCCGATTAGCAATACAGCTCTTTTTCATTTCGATGTAAAGCTTTCGTGACTGCAGGGATTCATCTTCTTGGTTCTTTCGGTAAAGTCACGTAGAATGGAAATAATAAAATAATAAAAATAAAACATTATAAAAGTATTTTATTATTTTTATAATAAAATTATTTTATTATTTTTATAATAAAATTTATGTTTTATTTTTATTATTTTATTATTCCCATTCTACGTGACTTTACCGAAAGAACCAAGACGCTCTTTTTCACTAATGTCCAATGCTGAGTGAGACCCCCCCCACCCCCTCCTTCTCCTCCTCTTCCTCACCTTTGCCATCTTGATCATCTTCTTGGCGATCTCCAAGTCTCCCTGGTGGTTCTGACCGATCTCGGCGATGATGAAACACGGGTTCTCACCGCCGATCTTCCTGCCCGGGCACAACTCGAACTCCAGAGGCATCGCGACGAGCTGCGAGTATACGGAGGTGGAGAAGGAGAAGCGGTGAAGCAAGAACGCGGATGTAGCTGATCCCTAAGCAGATGATATCAGCGGAATAATCAGGAGCGGCCAGGAGATGGTATCAGCGGTATCAGCGGAATCAGCAGGATCAGCGGTAACAGCGGAATCAGCGGTAACAGCAGACACAATGTGAACAGCAGAATTGGCAGGAACAGCAATTGACGTGAACAGGTGCAGCAGCAGCGGCAGTGGCAGCAGCAAAGCCCGGAAAAGGATGCACGGGGAGGCACCGAGACACGTGGCGCTCACGACGCCTCCAGTGACGTCACGACGCCTCCAATGACGTTAATGACGTCACGACGCCTCCAATGACGTTAATGACGTCACGACGCCTCCAATGACGTTAATGACGTCACGACGCCTCCAATGACGTTAATGACGTCACGACGCCGCCAATGACGTTAATGACGTCACGACGCCTCCAATGACGTTAATGACGTCACGACGCCTCCAATGACGTTAATGACGTCACGACGCCTCCAATGACGTTAATGACGTCACGACGCCTCCAATGACGTTAATGACGTCACGACGCCCGGGCATGCGCGTGCGTGACGTCACGACGCAGCCGCGCCCAATGCGTTTTGCCGACGTCACGACGTATCGAATGGCGTATTCTTAAAGACGACAACAAATACGCTCCAGAAAGTAAGATGCCTTGAACTGTTGCTTAAGATAGTGTCGTGTTATTGGGGGGTGGGTGGGAAGGTGCGTCTTATAATCCGGTCGTTTGCCGGGGACGTCACGCGGCACATGGTTGATGCCCCACCCCCTATGACGCGGGCGGCCATCTTACCTAGGGGGTCGGCCATTTTCCCTAGGGGGTCGGCCATCTTACCTAGGGGTCGGCCATATTCCCTAGGGGGTCGGCCATCTTACGTAGGGGTCATGGAACCACATTGCACGTGGGGACATTGAATGGTCACTCACAATTTTGTTTTTATTTAAAGTACCTATTATTATTTAAATATCACACGTGTACACCTCAGGTTAAAACAATGTGAATTACTTATCGAGAGGCGAGGGGGTGATTGAAGCTCATTGTACGAAAGCACGTGTTTTCGTTTTGGTGGGGTTGATTGTAAAAAGACGCTAACCAAAAAACACCCCCAAGGGCTACGAATGTCAAACTTGAGTGACGAGTTGACAAGCAGGCCATCGACAGATTTCTCACCAACGTTACAGTTAAAGGAAGCCAATGATGATAATGGCAAGGGGCACAAAAGGGGGGCGGTGGTGGTGGTGTGCCCAGGACCAAGTCCAGCCACATTCTCCCCGCAGTGATGTTTGCACACACCAGGCCACGCATTTGAAGCTGAAGCAACCTAGGTGGATAGTTCTAGATTTGAAGCTTTCGTGACTGCAAGGATTCATATTCTTAGGTTTGTTCGGTAAAGTCACGTAGGTACAAGTAAACCCGTAAAAACAAAGTTTTTCACTCTAAATCCTTTATATGCGTGGCGGCTAGAGTCCTCTCGTCCTCTGGCTTGAGATGGCTGCCACCTATGGGTCAGATGATTGTCTGCCAGTATTAAGCAATTGGTAATTAAATATTTAATTTGTTTTTCCTAAACAGTGTAAAATTTTAGAAAAACATTTTCACGAACATTGTCTCGCACGAGTCTGTGTGCAAAATGTCAGCTCGATTGGATCACGGGAAGTGGGTTAAAAAACGACCGAAAGATTTGCATGGTCGTAAGCAAGCACGCAAGCAAGCAAGTGAACTTAATATAAAGGATTTAAAAAACCTAAGAATATAGGTGGATAGTATAGGTTCTGACACCACGTGGCAAGGTGGTAATCTGGAGTTGGGGTTTCCCGTTTCGTAGTGCGGTATAGAAACACCTGCACCACCATTACCCAACAAGATATTTTCAAGTTGTACCACGTAAGCGCCACGTGCTGGGAGCTCTAGGAATCGTGTTAATGGCGATTCTCGCAGCACGTGGAATTAAACATTGAACACATCGAACAGGATAAACAAGTCGGTGGTTTCCTACTCGGTGACTATTGAGATTTGTTTAACATCCCGAAGCTCAACTTCAAGGACAGTGCATATTATTATCATTATCAGAGTTGCTTCTTTTTGTTTGCTTTTTTGACTACTTGTGTTGTGGTCATTGCAAACATGATGCCTTGAATAAAGGTGTCAGTTTTGTACCAGTTTAAAAGGGTAAAAACCTACTACTATATCCCGAAGCTTGTTGACACTCCACGTTCCTATGGCCGGAAGGGTGAGAATCTCCCTCGGGTACAACCACTGTTCACTTTACAAAAGCAGTACTCATTTGGAAACTCAACGCGAATCAACACGCCACCTGAACTCGCACCCTTTCAATTGCGAGCAGCCGACTCTAGCGCCGAGATTCCCAGCCAAACAACACGTAGTTGAAGCCGAGCGGAAGATGCGGAGGAGCTGCACAGCACACACACACACAACAGCGAGGACACGTGCAGTCGAACACAGAATTTGTTAGAAATTTATTGACCGGTTGCGAGGGTGAAGCGCCGAGGTTTGACAGCGCCGTTCGTTTGTAATCGCCGCTCCCCCACCACGCCCCAGCTGCACTGACAATTCACACCTCCCATCACATCCCTCACTCCATCAACCCTAACCGCCTCTTCCTCTACCCCCAAAGCCCATGAGCGACACACATACACACTCCCCCCCTCCTCTCCCAGTCAGATCACACTGCACGGACTCCCAAACCCCCCAGAGAACCCGGACCAACTAAAATTTGTTTTCCAGAGGTGGTGGGAGGGGGTACTCACAAACATTCAAATTTTAAAAATAAAAACACAAGACAGCAACGGCACTGGAAGATAAACGTGAACGCAAAATGCAGAAGCGGCGATATAAAAGTGGCCGTTCTCGGACTGAATTTCGATGGGACCATGGAGCAAGGGTATGCGCAAGTGGGCACTGGGGGGCCCGGTTTCCCAAACTCCCAACGCTTGCAAGTGACCACATTACACGGTACAGTGTGGGATTTATAATCGCGTCCGAAAGCGCCTGCATCTCTAGACACGCCGAGTAGAAACAGAGGGACGAGGGGAAATGTGGCATTTCGCCAGCCGTCGTCAAGAGAAACCGTCAAAGCTACAGACGGTCTTGAGCTCTGAACCATAACGATACCGCAGGGATCGATAGCACAGATGGCCTGGGAAAGGGACTTCCAAAATACGGTGGTAGCAGAAGATGACGTTTACACCAATGGTCTCCGTTCCAAGTGGAAACGAAGTCACAACGATGCTGCGCACCGATGATTGGCTCGTGCGTCGCACACGTGCGCGTGCTGGTTAAAATCAATGTGTTGCGCGTAACTAGAGTGCGTGCGGCGAATGTGTCCAACGTCACACATTTTCACTCTGGAACAGGACACTCCACCTTGCCGGGAGGGACTTGTTCACCAAACATCAGGCGTGTGTCGCTTGTGGCGACTTAATCTGCATTGGAAGTGGTTGGTTGAACAAGGGGAGGCGCGTCATCGCGTGGCGTGAGGAATGTAGTCTGGGAAACCCTGTCCCCGAGTGGGTTGGTGGCGGGGGTCACAAGGGCACTTGTAGGGGCTTAAAGGAGATAAGTCTAACCACTTTCCTAACGTACAAGGCCCTACGTCTCACCACTAAACTAACGGCACAAATGCAGTTCTCACCTGTTCATCAATGAACGTAATTGACAGGTGATTGCTTTTCTAAATCGGTGAACGATGAGTTAGGGGAATACAGGGGAAGGTAAAAATGGGGGGGGGGGCAATGGTAGAATTAGGGGAAACAGGGGGAGGGAAAACGAGGGATGAGTCAGGGAGAGTGAGGGGATAGGTTAAAGGGTACAATTCTGACAAGGGAAAACTGGGTACATGGCAGACAGGTAGCAACATACAGGGAGGGTGACTCGCGGTAGAGGGTTACGGGGGACGTACAGGGAGGACCATGAGGGTACCGAGATGACTTGGGGATTCTGGGAGATTCAAGAGACAGGGGCAGGTTGGGGGAAGAGGGTAGTAGAAGTGATGGGAGCACAGGGTGAAACAAAGGAAGTGAATGGCCAGGAGTACCGGTAAGGTTCAAGGGGGATACAGAAAATTCAAGGGGCTAAAGGCATGGGGGTTAGGGGGGTACAGGGGTGGTTATGCGGGTACAGGGAGTTCATGGGTGACACAGAGGGTAATAATGGAAGGGAGAAGAGGTACGGGGTCTGGGGAAGGTTGCGACCTCGGGTCACGGGGCTGCGGCTGTGGGTGAGGCCGCGCGGGGAGATGGGGAACGCGAGCGGCTGCCGGAAGCAGAGCGGGCGCGTTTCCGTGGCGACTGAGATCGGGAGCCCTTGCGCAAAGCGGGGGAGGTGGAGCGTTTCCGTGACACCGGGGACGCCGATCGCTTACGTGGCAACGGGGAAGCGGACCGTTTCCTCGGCGACGGAGAAGCGGACCGCTTCCTTGGCAACGGGGAAGCGGATCGCTTGCGCGGTGACGGGGAAGCCGATCGTTTCCGCGGTGACCGAGAAGGGGATCGTTTACGTGGCAACGGGGAAGCGGATCGCTTTCGCGGCAACGGGGAAGCCGAGCGTTTCCGTGGGGATGGGGAAACGGAGCGTTTCCGTGGAGACCGGGAAGCAGACCGTTTCCGTGGCGACGGGGAAGCCGACCGCTTACGCGGCGAGCGGGAAGCCGACCGCTTCCGCGGCGAGCGAGACCCGGAGCGTCTCCGCGGAGACCTAGAGCCCGAGCGTCTCCGTGGCGACCGAGACCCGGAGCGTCTCCGCGGCGAGCGAGATCCGGAGCGTCTCCGTGGCGAGCGAGACCCTGAGCGTCTCCGTGGCGACCGAGACCCGGAGCGTCTCCGTGGCGAACGGGAGGGCGAGCGACGGCGGCTCCTGCTTCGCGAGCTGCAGAAGGAAATGGGAGAGAGGGGGGAAGAGTTTTAGACAACTCGGGTTTCCCCATTCTGTGTTGCTGTACATCGCCACACCACACCACCCACCCCCCCATGTTGCGAGTGTGGTTGTGCGAGCCTGTAATCGTGCCACAGACAGACGTCCATTACTCACCGGGAGCGGCTACGCGAGCCAGATCTGTAAAATACACACACACACAGACCAGCGCCATTAATCACCACGAGGCGTTCAACTATTCACACGCATGGTCATTCACAAGAAAATTAAACACAATCCATATCAATAACATCACAAGCTGAGAATGGTGTTTGTTGTAACCTTCTG